CTGTCCCCCCTGTCCCTGTCCCCCCCTGTCCCTGTCCCCGGCTCCGCGCGCTCCTGTTCGCACGTGGCGCCCCCTAGTGGCCGGGTGTCGCAGCGCGGCCCCGCCCCGCCCGCTGACGTCACGCCGCGGTGAAGATGGCGGCGGGCCCGGGTCGGTGGCTGTGAGCGCCCCGGGCCCGCCAACATGAGCTGCTCGGCGGACGCCGTGAAGGACAAGCTGCTGTGGAACGTGAAGAAGGAGGTGAGGGCGGAGGCGGGGGAGGGCCGGGGGGTGCGGCGGGCAAAGCCCCGCGCTCCGGGTGCCGCTCCCCGGGGATTGCTGGTCAGCCCGTGGCTGTGGGGGGAACGCCCTGAGGCGCCGGGCGGGCGGACGGGACCGCTCCCCTCGGTCCCCTCGGTCCCCTCGGCCGGAGCGGGGCTTTGTCCGCCGCAGCCGTGAGCCCCTGGCCGGGCTGTCGCCGGGGACGCGGCTCTGCCGGGCGGTGCTGCTCCGGGATAAGCTCGGTGCTCGTTTTCCCGAGCGCACCTGGAGCAGGAATGCCGCTCCCGGGGCTCCTGCTGCGGCAGGAGGCTGCCCTTGCCACCCGGTCCTTTTCCTGGGATTCGTGTTTCCCGTAGGACTCGTTTTTGTGAGTTTTTCTTAACTGTGAGCTCCAGAGGAGAAATCGAGGATAAGAAAGATATTCCCAAAGGTGTCCTTGGATGAGCCGAGCTGGCTCCCAGGTGCTGGAGGTGCGCTCTGGGAAGGGTTAATGAAGGGTTAATGAGGGTGGCTGTCCTTGCACACATCCGTGTGCCATTCCCGTGCTGGGGCACTCGGAGCCGTGAGTGCAGCCGAGCGGGGCGGAGTGCCAGGGTTAATGAAGGGTTAATTATATTGGCTGTCCCTGCACAAATCCTTGTGCCATTCCCGTGCTGGGGCACTCGGAGCCGTGAGTGCAGCCGGTGGAGCTGCGGCATGCTCGCGTTTGGGCTGGCGGCTCTCGCAAGGTGCTCCGGAGCGGCTGGGAGATGCTCGGCAGGACCCGGGCAGTTCCCACTGCCATGACCCCGCACCGAGCAGCTCCTGCCGGGGTGACGGAGAGGAGCAGTGCCCTGGTGTGCCCCAGCACTGGCCCCTGGACACCCCTGCAGCATGTTCCAGGTGGAACTCACTCCCTGCGGCCACCTCTCCTCGTGTGTACTGTATTTTGCATTTTTGTGGTGCTGGCTGTGTGATAGCTGAGTGTAGCTGCCGCTTGTTACACAGCAGTGAAGTGAAGGTGTAATGCTCGTCCATGATAGCAGTAACAAGTATTTTAAACAGGTGCCTGCCCTCCTGCTCCTTCCGCTGCTGGGGAATCAGCAGCAACCATCAAAGCTCAGATGAAAAGTTGTGGCTATGGCCAAGGAACTGAGCCTGACTCCCATGTCCTGCTATTCATTAGAGCTGAAAGCAGAACACATCRGGTGTTTCAGTCAGCATGGGGAGTGTGGAAGGGGCAGAGCAGGGACAGACATGTCAAGGATGATCTGTATGAGGAGCAGCAGGGCTGTGTCCCAGGATGACCCTGTGGGCAGGTGGTACCTGCTGAATACACCCATGAACCTGTAACTTCCATTAGAAATTTTTGCTTAAACTAGAACCTTTTAGCCAAGGTAGTGTAAGGTTTTATTTAGAAGTGGGTGCACTTGCTCTYCTGAGTAATRTTTAAATATATAAATAAATCTGATAAATATTTTCCAAGTCTGAACATTGCAATCTTGGGCTAATGCACGAGATGGAAAGTGAAATGGATTTTCATGATCCAAGCCAGCTCAAACTGAGGAAAGCAAGTGGTGTGTAATTAAAAAATCTGAGGCTAATTTGTTTTTARAGTCTCTAAAATGTTTTTAATTGGACTCTGGTTTTTAAATCACTTGAATAGTGCTTSAAAGTGTTATTTGTACCTTCTGTGTCATCTGGATTTTTGTTTTGCCTCTGTTTTTTCCTTCTCCAAATCCTCACAAATGCTCTTTTAGAGCATTTATAGTGGCTTGGCTTTTTAGGGCTTGGCCAGAGCTTTCCAGCCTAAAATAGCCATGAGAYTTTTTGGTGATTATAATCAGRTTGAGGAAACACCTTCAKGTGTGCCCTCACAGACCTGTGGAARGGCCCCTGTTTGTGCTCACAGTGAGAAAATGAGCTCAGGGGACAGTTGGAGACCCTGAGATGGAGATTTTATTTGTCCTAAATAATCAATTGACGGAGGCAGGAATTGAACACAAGCCACTAGTAACCACCCACCAGATGATGCTATCTTTAATGACTGTAATTAACKTCTTCCAATAGAATTTTCAACCTCACTTTTTATCGTGTGTGACAGCCACTTCTGCCTGCTTGCTGTTTACTGGTGGGCTTGCTGGGAAAAGCTGACACCATGTCCATTCTCATTCCCTTCCCTTGTCCTCTAAACCCAGACTTCCCCTGTTAAATGATTTTCCATAACCTCAGTATCCAAAGGAGTTCAGAGGCAGAAGATTCTTTCTGAGTGTTGTTCCACCAAGCCTGTTAAAATTCAGTTATCTTTGCAAAGTAGTAGTCATCTCCAAAGTCACTTGGTGCACAGTGTTTCTTTTATTTTGCCTCACTCTCTCAGCTAAAACTTCTGCATTTTTCCTTGGGGAAATTTAATGCTGTTTGCTTTTCCTCAGATGGACTTTGAGCTCCCATTGGTAGGGAATGTATTTTGTTGGCTCTCACAGAAAGGAAGACAAGTAATGTGTTTAGAAAATGTARCTGCTGGGATTCATGCTGGGGCTTGGAAGTTCACGTCTCAAGCATTTATCTCTCTCTGCAGGAAAATCTGTTGTGACAAGCAGACTCATAAAACAAGCTTTTCTCTGACCATTTCCCTCTGCCTCCTGAAATGGAGGGCTTTGCCATTTCTGGATTAAAACACTTTCTAGCTGTGAAACAAACAGGATAACAATAACCTTAGCAGTTCTACCCTAAAAGATTTCAGGGCAGCTCAGAAACTCAATTGCTCAACTTTCAACTGAAATGTAATGACTTCTGAGGAGAAATGTGGTAGCTATTGAACAGCTTTTATTTACAACACCAGTCTTTCGTCAGGAGTAAGAAGGAGTCAGTGCAGCAGTAAAGGAGGTGAGCAGCTAAAGCAGACAGGGGTGCTGGACATTAGGTTTTCTCCTTGGAGGAAAAAATGCTGTGGGCTTTAACTGTGGTCATGGTTACTCTGGTATGTTATGAGCATTATTCTTTGCCATTTTTAAGGTTGCATTGTAATAAAACTTTTTAAAAAAAAAGGCATTTCTCTTGTGTATTTCTTGGGTGAAACTTTATAAATGATCCATGTATTATGAGGTATGTTTGGTGTTTGACTGCTTCTCCCACCTGCACAGCTCCTGTCCAGGCTCTGGAGGCTGCAGCCCTCCACCCTTTTCACAAACACAGGTTAGGCTGCCTGCTTCCTTACCTGTGGGGGTGGATGGGTGACTCAGGGGGCAGGTGCTGATGTTTCTGTTCATCAGATTAATTTGTGATTTGCTCAGGTCTGCTGGTGGCTGCCAGTGGGTGTGTGTGGAGGCTTGTGCTCAGAAAGCTCCATTGTCAAGTGCCTCCCCAGACCAGAGGCAAAGTGGCAGAATTCCCTATGAAGAGCTGTGCAAAATTGCAAGGGAATAAAGGAAACAAGCCAAAAAAAGGCTTGTGTTCCATTTGATCAGAAAAACTTGCTTTAGCTCYTTGCCTTGAGCATCCATGAATTACGTGGCAGTGAGAGATGACGTGGGRTTGGAGAACACTGCATTCCAGCTTTTGAATCTTCTCATATCCTGTCTATGCCTTGAATATGTTTTTTAATAACATTCGTTCACGCTCCAGAAAATGCACGGAGCTTGCTTGGCATGTGGTGGCAGTTGAGAACACACAGAGTGGTACCCTTAGCTCTGAAGTCCAAGGTTTGAAATCTCCTGGGAGACACGGAATGGTGCTGCTGTTAGAAAAGTAGGGTTGATTACTGAAATCCTTTTCTTTCTCAGTTTTTATATACTTGAAATTTTGACTGGGATCTAAATAACATACTGAGCTGATTGGGGCATGCCTGGGAAATGTGTGGTAGCAATGAATTGGCTGCCAAGCACTTCAGCTTTTGCTCTTCAAAACAACTGTTCTTCCTGTTGTTAGGATTTGAATTCCAGTTACTGTTCTCTGGGATGCTGAGACTGATTTCATGGTCTGCAGTCCTGAACTGACGGATTGCATGGTCTGTAGTCCTGAAGTCATGTCTGTGACCTTGAGTCATATGAACACAGGCTGGTGTGACTGTGCTGCACCCAGGCAGAGTCTCTGTCCATTCTCACGCCAGTGGCACTCACAGTTGCTTTTGGCCAGTAGCCCATCAGCCCTTTTCMTTTGGTAGAGTTGGTGCAATCACAACAGGCTGTGAGCTGAGGCTGCTGTCCTTACACAGGGGGGTTCCAGGTACTTGGAGGCTGCACATGGCACTGTCCTGGGCTGGGGGCTGTGCTGCCTTCCACGTGGGAAGTGCAGGTCAGGGGCTGAGCTGGACTCATCCCAGGGCTGTACTCTGCCTGCAGTTAACCTAGACAGCTTCAAACTTCTTCATGAGCTTCAGGACAAGTTCTTGTGGGGTCCTGCTAAAGCTAACAGTCCCTCAGTCTGTCCATCATCAGAGCTGTAATAAAACCGTGCTGAAGAGAGTGCTGAATACACAGGATAATCCAGATGTGAGTGCCCATTCATGAGACCTCCTCACACTTCTTCCTTATACCCTCTTACTTCTCCGCCTGTAGCTGCTTTACTGTCAGGTCCTAAGTTCCAGCAGCTGTGTCAGAAACACCACAGGAAAGAAGCAAATTGCCTGTTTCAGAGTTTATATTGTCAGGCCTCAGGTGTGAGCAGTGAGCCAGGTTTTATGCAGTGCAAAAGACTGGCTTTGAATTTCTCAGCTACAAAACATGTTCTACTTTCAAAGCCTCTTACATGTTTGCTTTTTCCCCTCCGATGTTTTCTTTGCAACTCAGAGGGCTCCTGTTTGATAAGGAACACAAATTCCAAAGGATCCACTTGATCCAGAATTTGGAGCGAGGCAAATGCCATGTGTTGATGCCATGTGTTGAAAGGCTCGTGCAGCAAGTGCCAGAGCTGCAGCCTGCTGCCAGCCGGGCTGGGGGTGTAGGAGTGGGCACAGAGGCCTCAAGATGTTTACTGGGGGAGGGCATGTTTAATTACRGCATCCAGAACTGCTCTCACAGATGGTCTTCGTGGAGAGGAAGCCCTCCAAACTGCAGAAGGAACCTTCACAGGCAGCTGCAGAGCCCAGCTGTCCATGGACAATGCCCCTGCAGCTTCTCCTGGTCCAGTTTGGTCCAGCACTGAGTGGAAAAGCTCAAAACYTTGGGACCTGTCAGTGCCACAAAGTGCTACCCAGTTAGCTCTAAATGTTGGGAGAAGAATTGGTTAAATCTTCTACCCTCGTAGYGCTTTCTTTTGTATATTGAAAGTGAATTGGCATGTATTTAGTCAGAGTATCATTACCCTGTAATTGTAGCTCACAAATGAGAAAAGTCAAAAATTATGGTCAATTTGGAAGACAGCAAGCTGTCCCTGGCCAGGAGGAAATGAGTGTCTGATAAATGAGTTGGTGGAGGCAGTGAGGTTTCATCTGGTGTCAGGCTGAGGAAGCCATTGGGGAGAAATCACTGGCAGATGAACTGAGGGTGACTGCAGCCTCTCACCAAGAGCCTYAYTGTAAGAATTGTCYGTTTCTTCCTTWATTTTTGAAAGTCAGTCATTTGCARTTATTTCCCTCTTGAGCTTGGCACATCAGCCCTGAAACTGGAAAGGARCTTTGTTTTAAATAATTAAAAAGTGTGATAAGTGTAATTTTATTTGCTATAATGGTTAAATCATGTCTTGAAGTGAAAACTGAAGGCATTGCCTTCCTGTAGATACTATAATGATTTTGAATACTGTCTGGTGCAGCAGAGCTTTGAAGGCATCATTTGTAATTGCTGTGGCACGTAAAGTCCCCAGGTAGGGGGAAGGTGGCCCTAAACCTCTCTGGGGATGCGTGAGGTTGAAAAAGATGCTTTGTGCTTGAAAAAGAGCAGAATGGTACAAGTGGAAATGGGACATGGCAGCACAGTCTGGTTTCGTGACCAGAAGAGACTGTGAAGGCCAAGGATGAATCATAGGAGAGATCTTGTACAGCTCTTTGGAGCTTAACTCTGGAGAAGTTCTTTGGAAGGCACTGTGGGCAGGCTGAAATAATTCAGCCTTTTATGGGAGCACRCCTCAAACAGACCTGTCCTTGTTCTGCCAGAGGTTCCCTCATACCATGATAAGCTGCTCAGGTTTGTTTGTTCTTTCCCTCCTTAAATCCATTCTTTCCTGCAAAATGCGACGTGGGGGAGTTGTTAGTCTGTTGGTTAAGGGGAAGGGGCAAGCAGTGATTGAAACTGAAACTCCTAAGTGCTGTGCTGATTTTGTTGGGATCATACAATCGTTTCTCTCTATTCATTTTAGGTAAAGCAGATCATGGAAGAAGCTGTCACCAGGAAATTTGTACATGAAGACAGCAGTCACATCATCGCCTTATGTGGTAAATGTCACATTAGCTGAAGAGCTAACGCTACCTAACCTTACTTTTCCTCTAGACATTTATTTTCTCTGCTGTCAGAGGTAAATGCAGGGATTTAGATATTAGAAATCATGATGTTCAGGCCCATTTCACCTCTTCTTTATATTGCTACGTGTGTGTGTGTACATTGCAAATTTTAAAGTAACTCTTTCTGAAACATCATTATCCAAGTGCCCAGCCAAGATGCCCGGTGTCCTTTTGCAGGCTGGCTGTGTGATCCGGGGAGCTCCTGGTGTGATCTGCCTGTCTCTGTTCCTGGAATCCTGTCCTGGAAGCTGTGCTGCAATGTTGGTGCAAGGGGTGGTGGGGCGGCAGCTATTTCTGTTACACTCTGCTTGGCCAAAATTAGGAATATTTGAAAGTCTTCATATTTCTCTCTTCCTCCTACTGTGATTCCAGTTGATGTTGTGTTCTGAATTCTTCAGGATCTGAAGAACTAATAACCCTGCACTGAGCTGCCTCATTATTGCCCAACAATCCTACCCTGTCCTAAGGCAGCCAGCCTGCTGCTGCTTTGAACAGAGGCCTTGCTTAACTCTAAACCAGAAGGTGAAACTGCATGTTCTGTTTTCACTTTGGCTGATTGAATGGAGAAATCCCTTCCAGTAGATTTTTGGCTAACAGCTCCTGGCTGGTGCTCTCCTGTGTGTGCAGTTCTCTTCCCTCCCCCACTCCAGTTTCATGTGTCTCTTCAAGAGGTTTTTCCCTTCTATTTAAAATTAGATTGGTTCAGTACATGAGTCATTTTTGGTGGATCTTCATTATAAATATAGAATTCTTGTGAATCATTTTACTCTTCTGCTAGGCAGAGTTTAGCAAGAGTCTCATGAATACATGATAGCTGATTTCAAGGTCTCCCTGCATCAGTAGGTGAACCATTCATAGCTGCCCTAGGTCCTGGCTGGCCAAAGGTGCCAATGAAATGGCATGTGACACTTGTCCTGTAGGAAATGCTGTGTGCCACCAGCTCTGTGCCACCCTTGCTGATCTGGAGGAATGGTGCCTCTGTGCAGGTCAGCTCTGCTCATCCAGCAGGAGGGATTTATAACCACCAGGWCTCTGTTCCAGTCTGTGATTGCTGCCTAGGTGCTCTGGGAGAAGGAAAGCAGTGCTGATGTTKTCATCTTTGTGGGGAAGCAGTGAGTGCATGAGGTGCATTGTATTTGTTCTCACCCTAGCATATAACTAAMCTAAGTTACATCCCTGGGGCTCTGYCATCCCCTCTGATTTCTAAGAGATTTGGCTCTGTGGTTCAGAGCCACAGCAGCAGCATCTGGACTGTGGCTGATGTGGGGATAAAATTTCCAGATTCCTTTGAGCTGCTTTGCTGTGGAGCGAGTTTCCCCGATGCTGTGTGGCCAGTCAGGGGACAGTGCAGTGATGCAAGTGTGTTTGGAGCATCTTCAGTGGCTGGGCTTCTGTTGGGAGCTGCCTGTGGATGTTTGCAGCCTGGTGAATGTGGAGAGGTTTCCTTGGGAACGGCAGCTGCCACCGTGACGTGGGGCTGGCTCAGCGCCGCTGTCTCTGCGGCAGGGGTGTCCATGGTGGAGCTGTTCTCTCACAACACCAGCCTTTTCCTGCTCCTACACCTCTGAGCCAAAGGGGCAAGGAAAAGGAAGCATTTCTCTGTGTCTTCAGTTACCTGAAGTATTATTATAATTATTATTTACATGGTTTCCAGTTCAGCACATAACGCTTTATTTGTCCAAAAGCTACCTGTTGGTTTGCTGAGCCTTTAGTTTGTGGTTGCCCATCTTTAGTCTGACAGTAATGTGCTGCTTTAAGCAATTAGAAAACTTGTTTAAGTCAGCTTCATACAGCAAACATGCTTTATTCATGAATTCATTAACCCCAGACATGGTTACCCGAATGATCTCTGTGTTTTCAGTGTATACTCTGAAATGAGYCTCAGTAGTTTGTTCTCTTTGAATAATATTTTGAGTGTATTAAATGAAATAATCTTGAATTCCCCGTGCTATAAACTAATTGTGATAGAATTCAGGAGGGTTRTGGAGAGCTGGTGTGTGTCACAATCAAAATGCATGTTGTTTAGGTGTAAATCCAGCATGTCTGCTTGGCAAAAGGAATGTATTTACTGTGTTTTGGGGAAAAGTTAGCTCTAACATGAGTAAAAATAGTAACTTGGGCACCCTTAAGCATGCAGAACTTGTCTTTTCAATAAGATTTCAGTTCAAATTAAGGAAGAGATGAACTGCACAAAAAGCTTTTTTTGGCCTGAATAATAAACCTGCTGCCAGTAATTAAACCCGTTAATTAAAATGTACAGAATCCCTTTGTGGTTSAACTGAAAAGGCCAGTTCTGATTTGAGCTGCAGAATGATATTTAATGTTGTGCTTGGGGCTGGTAAASCTTGTTGGGTTTAATGCTTGGGTTAAGTCCTGAATCTGACCTCATATCCTGCGAGACGTTGAGGCTCTTCTGTCGAAGAAAACAAAAGCCCTTCAATCTTCTTTTTGTTTCCTTAATACATGGTAGATTTTTTGTATACTTTGGATACTTGACATGTGCTGTTTCTTCCCATCTTCAGTTACTAAAGTTTAATTAACCCCCAATGTTGCTTTCAGTCCTTCACTTCAGAGGCATTTTTAAGTATTTACTTTTTCCTTTTCTTTAGTGCATTGAATTATCTTTGCCTTCCACATCTGTTCTAAAACTGTGTCTAGACCAGACTTACAGACCACAAATGCTTTTCCATTTTTAAACCCAAGCAGAAAATTTGCTGTTTCGAGTGTTCTGCTACTGTTCCATCCTGATGGATTTGTTGAGGATCYCTGCTGCAGATTCCAGGTGCAGAGAGGAGGAGCAGAGAGCCTCCCCTAGGGGAGCTGAGGAAGCTCCCATTGATTTAGCTGCATTAACCTCATTTTTTTTTTCCATCCCCATCATGCATATTGCTTTTCTTTTCTTATTAACTGATGAAAATGACTGGTTTTTTTTTTTTCTGGGTAATGCTGTGTTTAAATATTACAGATCTTAAAAAATGAAGAACAAAACCATGTCACGATCTGTCCAGTCATGCCCTGGAAAGGTGGATCTGGATATTACCTGAAGGTGTTTGTATGTGTTTTGTGGCYGTGTTTAGTCATGTGTGCAGCCCTTCAAACAAAAGAAGGATGTGGTGGCTGCACGGGGGAGCCTGGGAGATAATGAATTCCCATTAGTAAGCAGTCCTTGGTGCTTTCTCTGTGTGAGTAATACATCAGAGAGGTGGCCTGAGGCCTTTCAGCTGACATCTGCTGACCCAGAGATAGAGGCCACTTGCCTGAGCACAGCTCAGTGCTGCCTTCCCAGCTGCCAGTCCAGTTTTCTCTGGAATTAGCTGARCAGCCTGTGAACCCTTTGGTGGTTCTGGACATGGTGCTAGAGGAGGGTGGATGAGAAGCTCCATCATAAACAGGTCCATGCAGCAGCCGTGCAGTGCTGTGAGTGCCCTTGGCCAGCTCTGTGGGATCCTTTGTTTTCTCTGTGGATGATTTCCAGATCTACAAGCACAAAGTGGTCGGTGAGTGTTCATACTTCTTCTCAGTACAATTTCTCTTGTATGTAAGTTGTGCTCTTTCAGCTTCCCTGCATTTCCTTCACTCAGCGACACTTAAATATGATCTGGTCTCGTGCCAGGATGTGGCAGGTGGGAGCTGGACTCCCTGGCTGCTTTTTGTGAAGCATTCCTGAGCTGGCATTTGTGTCTTACGTTGGTTCTCCTGCTCTCAAGCACCTGCATTGTCTGTGTACATCAGACTGTGAGAGCGTTTTTGTGTCTCAGAAACAGAGCAGGGAGAGCTGTCACCCACAAGTGCTCCTGAGATGTCTGTGCTTCAGRCTGTCATTCCACACTCCAGACCTGCTGTGTGGGCCCTCTATCCATCCACTACAATTTCCTTTCACAGAGCCTGGGGCACCTAGGCTTGGAAAATCATTAGTGTAAGGTGCTTCCTTCTTCAAAAATAAGTAGAGTCAATTGTTATTTGAAGCAGCTCTGYGTCCCTCAGTATCAGCTCATAGCAAAAGGACCAGTGCGTTCTGAGAAACAGAGTGGCTCTTGGGTCCTCTTCACATTTTAGAGCCAATCCAGGATATAACAGGATTGCAGTTCATGTGCAAAACACTTACTAAGATTGAACTTTATTGAACAGTTCAACAGTTACTTCCCTTTTTCCTAAAGCAGAGGGGTACTCCATTCATTCTGGAGCTGCAGGGCCATAGGAAAGCACTTGTGTGGCTGCATTTTCTGGAGCCACGTGCATAGTTGAGATTGGGTGAGGTCTGAAGTTTTAGGGCCCTACATGTCTGTAGGAACACTCTCAAAGAGCTTCAGCTGAAGTCATGGGTGAGTCTCCATCCACTCTGGCAGCAGAGGAGCAGGAATCCTTGGAACATGAACATGGCTGATGATTCCTGCAGACCAGAAACACGGGGTCTGTGCTGGTTTACAGCCTCACTGCTGACAGACCCAGGGTTAACCACAGCAAATGGCCTTAGCTGTCAGGCTGTTTTCTTCACTGGTCTTAGGATGACTGGGTATCCCATTTTGCACAAAGTTAATTGTGTTTGAGAGAAAAATCTAATTAGGAACCAATGACCGCATGATGCTGGACCTCATGTTCTGTTTTTTCTCATTCAGGACCTGAAATCCAAGCCATTACCAGAGTCACCAAACATCACAATTACCAATCCCAAGCAATGAAAAATTATGAGTCAGAAATCTTTTCCTTCATGGCCCTTAATTACAAGRCTGGATTAAAGCTCTTGACAGAAAAATAAAATGTATTTCTGAAGTACATTTCTTGTCCAGAGATCCTTCTGGACAAGGATCTGGTGGCATGCTTCAGAAGAATATTCAGTAGCCACAACTTGCAGTAAAACGGTGGAAAGCAGCAGTATGGGAAAGTCTTTTTTGTTTATTCTTAGGATGAGAAATACGTTTCTGGTAGAGGCCCTTTGTCTTATTTAAAGTGTGGCACCAAAATGTTGGCAGATTAAAGGAACTGGAGACTGATGTGGAGCTGTTGTGGACCTCATTTGTGGCGTGCCCTGAGTGTCCACACAATGAGCTCTTCCCATCATTTTCAGTTGGAGTGACAACATTCCAATTCTTCTGAAAATCAACCCCATTAGGAAGAGATGTYTTATGTTTTTGGGTTTTTAGGTGATTGCCTTGAGGCTTCTAAATAGCACCATATTCACAGATTTGACATAAAACAAAAAATTCAGTTTTCTTTTTTCTTTAGCTCGCAGAAATGGAAATTCTGTAGAAACACATATAAATAACCATTGCCCAACCTGACAGTTTATCATCTTAATTCTTTTGGCTTTCTGCCCTTGGCATTGATATTTTTTAARAATGTGGTTAATCTGCTATGGAAATGCAGTTGTCTCACAAACAAAACACAAGTCTCCCTGTATTACTGCTTCTGTTTGGAAAACAAACATTTTCAGTGATGAATAATGCTTAAAAAATAGTTTAAATAGATTCTACTTCACTTGATAAACACATTAGCCCAAAGAGAGCACCAGAGATGATCATAATTGGGGGGAAGCAAATATTTTTTCACACACATTTAGAAGGTTTTTGATTGTGCTCCAAAGATGATGCTTAAAGTAATGGGTGGTGTGCTGTAGAGGGGAGGAAAAAAAACAGAGTGAATATTAGCTCTGATGTGAAATGGAACAGTTTTTGAACTGCGCGTGTTTTTAGCTTGAGAAGTGAAATAAAATCTCTTGTGCTTTTTAGAGAACTCTGCTAAACATTTTGCTTTGATCCTGAGCCATCAAATTGGATAATTTTCAATATTTAGAGAAACTTCAGTAATTCCGATTTACCCTTAACCGTGTTTAATGAAAACACTTCTGTTTTCCAAAGGTTACTGAGATCCTTGAAGCTTAATGATTGTGCTTTTAAAGAGGAGCAGTCACTAAATTTCAGCCCTGAAGTTTCCCAGCCACTTTAGAGCAGGTGACCAAGGGAAAGGAGCACATTTGGATGTTTCTACCATCTCACCTGCTCAGCTGCACTTCCCAGTGACACAGAGGTTGGAACTTGGCAATAAAACTGCCTTAAAACTGCCTTAAAACTGCCTTAAAACTGCCTTAAAACTGCCTTAAAACTGCCTTAAAACTGGGTAAAGCAACAGCAGCTGGAGATCGTGAGCATCTGATGGCTTCTTTATCATCCTCCTCTTCTCACTTGTTTTTAATTTCTCCAGCCTCATGAATTCAATTCCCTTAGCACAGTTTCCATGAAAACAAGGTATTTAGCTGCTGTATTTCTTCCTGTCTAAGGAAAATCTCATCTACTAAGTACAACCCATAAATAATCCTTCCACGGGCTCTCTTTTCTCTGCTCACCACTGTTCCAGCCCCAGAACTCTCATTTCACAGCCCATTAAGTCATGTCAGAATTTTCATAGAGGCAAAAAAGGACAAAACCAAACTTGTTCACCTGACCCTGGAAGAAGTAGCTGTGGTGAAGTCATAAAAAAGTGACATTTTCCTAAGCTTGGTGGGCACCGTGATTATTTGAACTGTAAATCAATAATATGTCTGCACTTAATTAAATTCAGCAGTGAATACTGCAGAGAATGTTCCTCAAAACTGTCTGGAGTTAATGAATTTTTAGATGGCTGCTGTCAGCTGAACCATACAAAGGAATTACCTGAGCTGTGCTGATTTATTCCCAGCGCAGAGCTGCTCTTGCAATCTGTGTGTAATGAGTTGCTGCCTTTTTATCTGGTCAGGTTTTGTGTGTGTTTGTTGTAGGCAGGCTCAGGATCACATTGGGCTGTGCAGTAGTTATTTACCTGTGTGCAGACAAATCTGTAGCCAAAAGCACATGTATGTGTGTACATAAAACCACATGGTGATGCCTTTCTGATGTTACCAGTTTCTCCAGAAACAGCTAAATCATCTRTTTCTAGGTCTTCTTAGAGTGTCAGATTCCAAAAAGGGAAAAAATGGTTCATTTTTGTAGAAATAGGTAAATAACCTGATTTCCCTGTCCCAAAGGTTCTTGTAGTATAACCCCTAAAATAGCTGGCGTTGTCTCTTTGGGCAGCATTCTGAGCTSTGCAGTTTGTATCTCCTGGTTTTGATTTATTAAAAAGCACCACTGCAAAGGTCCTCTCTTTGTTTTTTAAAAGCTTCTGCAGCTTGAGGTGACTCTTCTGCCAGTTTGTTGAGGATGTGTTAAATTTCCTTTCAGCCTGAGCTTGGCTGTGGGCGATGCTGGCAAAGTGCAGTGAGATCAGTGCCTGCTTTGGACACCGAGCCAAAGGAAAGCCCTGCAGGGCTGTGCCAGGGAATGMTCCCTCCCTGCTGTCCTGTGCCACCAGGGTGGCATCCACACCSTGGCAATGGGATGGCATCTGTGCCACAAGATGTGCTGCCCTGCTCGGATGGTTTGAATTTTAACCTGATGAAAGGCACGGTGTTTTTGCGAGCACGTTCAGATCGAATCAGATGTGAATGTAAAGTCAGCTGTTTTGGAATAATTCTTGGAGAGAAGTGTTCTGAGAGCCAGTGCTGTTAGTCTCAGCCTAGGAGTGAGGTGGAGAATGAAGTGACTGAGGATCACAAGGCTGGGCTCAGTCCCAGAGTGCCTTACACATACAGCTGGACAGGTATTAATCTCTTGTCCTGTGCAAAATGCATTTTGAGGCAATCCAGCAGCAAATTCTAGTGTTGCATTCCTTGCAGTGACCCCTATGTGTATGACCCTGGCAGTTGGGGACTGATGTTACCCAAGTTCCTGTGATGAGAAATGTCACAATGGAATAATTAAATATTGGGGCTCTAGGGACAGCCACTGGGGAAATTACCCTCATTGGTAGCTGCAGCATTTATTAATAATTAAAGCTGTGCCTGCTGTGCTTTTCACTAAATTTGTTTCATTAATATTTTATTGTTTTAAAGAAATAAAAAAAAAGTAGTGAAGGTGGGAAGAGAGCCTGTTTCCTAAGCAACAGCAATGCACTTCTTTGCAGTTATTTTTAAAGGCAGGTTGCTTCATTTAAGATTTGGAATCAAATTGCTGCATTGCTCCAGGCATCCGGAAAGCTGCTTTGCTTTCTTCTTTCTCTTTGTTTCTAATTGAAAGACAGAGAAAAACAGTTGCTGGGTTAAGAGCTGTTGTGCTGGTTGCTAGACAGGAGCTAGACCGTGCTGTGAGGAACATCCCGGTGCTGTCATCACTCCCTGTCCCCGCTGTGTCACTCTGTGGCCGCAGCAGCCCCCACAGCGCTGCGATGTTCCCTTTTCTGATTCTCCTTTCCCTCGGAGTGAAAGCAGCTTTGGAGGTACCATCAGTGTGGGCTCCTGCTCCTGTCACACCACAGGCTCTGCCTTTTGTTGCTCCTGGAGTGGGGCTCCTCAGGCTTCTGCAGGCAGGARATGTTCCTGTGTGCCCCCAGTCTGGTTTGTGTTCAGGGCCTAAGCAGTGAGGACAGGACTTTTTCAGACACAGGATTTCAGGTGTTATGGGATTTGGAGCCTTCAAAAGCAATAAGGAGGGGAGTCTTCAGGAAATGCTCAGCACCTGACAGYATTGGGYGTAAAGTGCAACARAATGCTGCTGTCTGAGAAAGAGCCRCYGTTGGTGAGAGGCAGAGTGGATGGGAGCAGATGGAGTGCCATTTGTTACTCCTGAGCAGCATTTAACGTGGCACTGGGAGCTGTGCTGTCCTGAGGGGCTGCCTGCTGCCACCCAGCACAGSAGAGCCACGCTCAGAGCTGCGCTCAGAGCCCTGTGAAGGATGCCCTKMCCTGGGCACACACCYGGCACACAGAGCTGGGGCTTCTCCCTTCCCTGGCAATGAATTGGTTTGTTCTCTTTCATCTGTGTGAGTCATCTGCAGTCTCACTTGAGAAGTTGATAGACAAGGAAGGCTTATATTTTGTTTTGTTTTTTGTTTTTTTGTTTAAATTTGTATTTCTCATTTCCCTTGCCTGCAGCATTACATGAGAGCTGGATAGATTTCTGCTGCAGTCTTGCAAGGCTGGCAGAGTGCAGTGTAGTGTTTACTCRTGGCCATCAGGGCGTGTTACAGTGTGGTTCTATGTGTAAATGGGGTGAAAATACTCGAGTTAATGTATATACTGCCTTTATTTGTACTTTACAAGGTGTGTGTAGTTACAGATTAGACATGCCCACATCATCTGATTCTGAGTTCCTGCCTGTCTGYTCCCCAGCTCTTTTCTTGCCCCACAGCTGCCCAGTGGGAGTGAGCAGGKGGTGCTGGCCGAGGAGGAGGAGGAGGCTGAAGGCAGCAGGACCCATAACATTGTGTCCCTGTCCCCACAGGTGTGGTGGAGGCATGTCTGCTGCACATGCTGAAGCGCAGGGCTGCCGGATTCCTGCGCACCGACAAAGTGGCCGCACTCTTCACCAAGGTGGGCAAGAGCTGTGCCATYGCTGGAGAGGTGTGCAAGAAGGTGCAGGAGCTGCAGCAGCAGGTGGAGAGCAGGTGAGGATGAGCTCTGTTTRWAGCTGAGTTGRTGCAGYGTGGTGGSACAGACTGCCCTGTYYGTGCCTTGGCCAGAGGTGATGCAGYTTTGTCTTGWTACTGCTGGAAGGATAAGGCAGATKTTKGTGTTTGATCAAGCTGGCASTGAGCAAAGGGRCAGAGATGGGCAACTGGGGCTTTGGTGTTTCATTTTGSTTCTGGGTATAGCAGAGCAGCTCGTTCAGCCCACACACAGCAAAAGAAGTGACTAATTACTCTGATTTCAGAGTATGGTGGACCAGCTTGGACTGTTGGTGGGAAGAGAGGGGGTGGAAGGAGGAACTCAAGAATAGACACACTGGAAAAGCTGTTTTGGCATGCTCCTGCCAAACCATGAARAGATTTGTGGTATCATAGCAGAAATAGTTAAATTAATGGACACAAAGAGTGATGGGAAGAAGGATGCTACAGGAAARCTGTTCAGTTTATACTGGACTTAAGCACAACAGAATTTGTGCTGGAGTCAAGGACTTGAGATTACTGAAGGTCTTAGACTTGCTGGTGGTGAGTAGCACAGTTAAAATTTTCCATCTGGTTCTGTTGGTGGTATCACAGTACATGAGTGTCTGGTCCTATAAGCTTAGGACAAGGGCATTTTAAATTCTGTTTGTAGGCACTGCTGAGCCTTAAGAACTCTTTGTACATCGTAGGAACTTTTAGCCTCTGATCAATTTGCTGTAAAAAGGGCTTTGCCAAGAGAGTTCATCTTCAAGTATTGTTATTTAAATTAGCACTTACATTTATGTGTAATTTTATTATATTTATCTTTATTAGACTTGTAATTATTAGACTTTGTTATGTAGTTTTTGACAGAAATATGTACCTATTTTTGATATATTTTTAATTGTGCCTACTGGTACAGACAGGAATTTTATTAATTTTAGTTTTTTTAATGTTGGGCAGAAGGATGCTTTCTACTGAGAATTCACCACCCTCTCTCCTGGTTAAGAACCCACACAAACACCCCTCTAACCACCAGAGACCTTTGGCTGKGCCCTCCAACAGAAAGAAGCAAATGAACTTAAATTCTGTGGTTTCTCTTGGACAAATTTTGTATGCTTTTCAGATATTAACAGCCATAAAATTTAAGTGCTGTAGAAAATCTGCACAGCAAAGATACTATTGGGAAATAGTGCTGGGGGTGGACTYGCTCTGCTGGATGGATGAAATGAGACTGAAAGACTGTAACTGTCTRATTGCACCTGAGGGGACAGCTTAAGAAACCCTCTGTTTAGGGATGCAACTAAACACMCTCGAATTGCTCTGATGGCAGTGGTGTCACATGTGTTTGTTGCCCTGTTGGGGTGCTGTCATGGYCTCTGTAGAACATGGGACTGTGTAAATGCAGAGGGGATCTCACCCAAAACAGCCCCAAATGAATTCATTAACTCTATGTAAATGAACAATTTCCTGAAAGGGACCCGAGTGCTGGCAAAGAACTTGAAGATGCCAGGGTTTCTTTCTTCATTGAGTCAAACTGGAACCTTCTTCTTTTCTAGAGGGGATATTTTCTGGAAAAGACATTCAGAGGATTCCTGGTGTTCTCTGAGCCCAGTGCAGTGTATGGAGAGCCAAGGCAGGCTGCAGTGATGGCAGGAGGAAGCARTCCCTGTGCTTTGGAGCTGCCTTTCTCCTGCAGTGCACTGTGTCACCTGAAGCAGGAGGATGGACCCATCAGGAGCTGTCATCAGATAGAATTCTGACTACTTTTATTTTATCACCTTTTGCAGGAAAAATCAGCCAAATGGGCAGGAACCCCTCAAAAGGCAGGGATCYACCACAAGTAAAACACCAGTCCTGACACCTCAGGCCATCAAACACATCTGGGTTCGGACAGCCTTGATTGAGAAGGTGCTGGACAAGATTGTGCAGTACATTGTGGATAACTGCAGGTAAGGAAGCAGCAGCAGAAGCACAGGGATTTGTTGGACTGATGCATTTATGTATCTGCAACAAGGGATTTCATCAAAAGTATTTGGCAAACCCCTGTGATGCAGGCTTCTGGTAAATGAAAATAATGGCATAGGATTTAGAAAAAAAATGTAGTTTTGCATGATTGACAGTGTGTCAGGCTTACAAAAAATGTTAACAGACATTCAGCTTTCCAGAAATCTTCTAAAAACCTAACTTCAAGTGTATTAGRTGTCCATATTCTAATGGGACCTAGACCTTTGTGGAATAGACATGTCTTCTAATAGGTCATGAGTTGAAAATAATCCTTTGGAGCTTTAGGATGTCAGGGAGGAAAACGGTTTTTATAGGTGAARGAAAGGAGAATTAGAACAGAGGAGCTAATGACATAAAACCTTAGGGTTGTGGAAACAGATTCTTTGAATCCTGTTTCCTTTTAAAAAAATCAAGCCTAAAGTAAATTTTCCTTTGCAAAACCAGAGAAGAGCATCAATGCTTCATGGATGTATTCCAGAGGGACTCCTTAGGAAGAAAAGATGAGTCCTCTCAGTTCTGTCRTTGCTTCCTGCTGCCCAGCAGGGGAATTTGCCAGGGAGTGGTTTGTAAYTCCTACCCTTCCTGCCCTCCCATAACCCATAACAGAAAACTTAATGGGGCACACTGAGGACAATCTCCCATAAAAAGAGAACAGAAGGGACCCTAAAGCTTGGTGTGCTCCCAGAAAGGCACTTTGCTTGCAGGGGTGCTCTTGTTGTTCAGCACTGGCAACACATTCTTGTCCATCCAAAGCCAATGGATCTGAACAAGGATGAGAGCTAGGGCAGAGCAGCTTATTTTCACAGTATTTTCCAAGTTTGTGTTASTGTTTTCCTTGTCATCATTTTTATTTTCATGATGTATTTTGCCACTTAAAGCAAGAGAATGGAAGAAAGGTCTTTGTGCTGTTCAAGCAAACTGTTGCTCTGGGATATGTAATGCCAGCTTGGATTTTATGAGCTGTGTGCAGAGGAGATGGAGGGAGGGCTGGCCATGTCCCAGAGACACAGTTAATGAAAGTATTTTAGTCCACTGCCTCAATGTCTGCAGATACATGGGTACAAGGGATTCTAATTTCTTATCCCCATAATCCACAGGGACATCAGGAGWGTTGGTTCTCAGTTGTTCCATCACTGTGTGTTGTAGATGTTCACCTCTCTGCCTTCCCCATGCATTCAGATGAGTTAGGATCAGGTCCTCCATTGCAGATTTTGACACCTGGACTTAGTGAAGAAAACAAGGCTTTTCTTAAGGCTTGTTGTCATGCATTTTTGTGACATTACTGCTCAAATGCTCCATGTTCATGTCCTTCAGCTGTTCTGTTTGGGGAGGAGGAGCAGGTGCTTTAGAGTGTGAGCCCCRTCTAGTGAACAGACCACAGAGGACAGTGGCATCCAAGAAATGTGGGTGTTGGGATTTTTTGGCTATGTGGTTTTGGAAAGCAGTTTTGCCTGCTACAATGGCATGACTTGGGGGTCATTGCAAGAGCTGCTATTTGTAGTCGTTCATTGTTCTTCACAGTGTTTCAAGATGATTTCTCACAGATGGAAGAGATGTTTAAGAGTRTGTGGATTGTTTTGTCTCTGTGGAAAATGGACAGAATTGCTTGCAGAGAACTAYTGTTTGTCTCCATATTGCAATTGTACTCAAAGCCCCAAATCAAATATACTGGGTAAACACACTGAGCACAAGGCGAGCTCCTGCCTCTGCAGAGCTCAGCTGAAAAATAGATGAGACAGAATGAGCAAATTGAGAGGAGGTGACTTGCCTGGGATTGCACAGCTGATCAGGGGCAGAAYGTACATCCAAAGGAGGGTGCTGGTCAGCTGGTTAAATGTACAAGTYTGGAGTGTAGGTTTATTGCATTGGTAATTCCAGGCTTATTTTATGCTCCATGGAGATTAGTGAGTGCTATTGATATAGTTTAGGAAATTATCTGTTCTAAAATAGATCCCTATAATAGACTAAATTAATTTCTCCATAGCTTTCTTACTGTCTTRTATGTTTCAATGGTCTTTAAAAACACTTAAGGACACAACCATGCTGTAAAAGGGTTCTTTATCTGCAGATAATACAATACAATACAACTCCTCTTCACAGGGCCAGTGGATGGGCCAATCAAACCCCATTAATGCTTTTGGAGGAGATGCTCACATTGGTAATTTCTGGGTAATYRCACMCACTGTTTCYCCTCTACCTCTCAAATTCAGGGAATATTTGGGATTTGAATCTGTTGAGTCCTGYCTCTGGCTGTTCAAATACACAKTTTTTTTACTGGCCCATTGTGTTASRCCTGTAGCTAAACCCAAGCTTTGAAACRGTTSATACCAACTAATGTTTTTAACTGGKCTCTGATCTTTTATTCCTAGTAAATATTATGAAAAGGAAGCTTTACTGGCAGATCCTGTTTGTGGCCCAATACTGGCTTCTCTGTTAGGTGAGTTCTYACAAAGTTACTTCTTATGCTGAGGAAAAGAAATTRTTTCTTAAMGCATTTTGCATTTTGACAGTGTKACAAGAAGTGAAATTTATATCTCCTATGTAGTTAACTGTTTGTAATAGAGAAACATCRAATTTGTTGTTTTGTTCCTTAGAAGACCAGAAGAGACTGATCATCTGGTTTTATTAGTAATGGYTGGTTGAATCAGAAAGCAGAATGGGAATGGGTTTTTACTGAATGCTTGCTGTAACTGCTAATGCTGCTGTGGCAGGGTATTGTGTCSTACAGGAATACTCTTATATGGCCCTGGGTAATAGGAGTGATACATTATTATATTGTCTGTATTGTGGGCTGATCCCATAGGATCAGTGATCATTAATATTCACTCACCCTCAGTGCTCAGCCAGCAGGGTAGGAGTGGATATATTTCTGAACAGACCCCAAAGGTTTGTGCCTTGCTGTGTTTTCCTAGTTGGACCGTGTGCTCTGGAGTACACCAAGCTGAAGACAGCTGACCATTACTGGACAGACCCTTCTGCTGATGAGCTGGTGCAGAGGCACCGCATCCACGGCGCCCACGGCCGCCAGGACTCGCCCTCCAAGCGCCCAGCCCTGGGAGTAGGTATTTACTGTCTGTGTGTCAGAGTTAAAGCTGATCATAAAAACAGCCCTGTCAGGGAGAGAGCTGRATCTCAAACAGCCTTTTTTCTCTCTTTGTAATGGGGACTTTATCACAGATTAGAAGGCCATTTGGGCCACAATRTCCTCTTTATGTAGAAAAGTTTGAGATCCAGCACTAAATTCTGTGGCCTTTCATAGCTGGGATCTGACCAGGTAGTTCACTAGAAATTCACTGCTGAGTTGAGAGTTCAGGTGATTTCCTGCACACTGCCCTGGCTCCCCAGAAGTTGCACTCAGCAGAGGCTGATGTGGATAGCTCTGTCCTGTTCCTGCTCTGTCTCACTGCCCTGGCTGTGTGTGTGTTTAGATCCGGAAGCGCCATTCCAGCGGCAGCACGTCAGAGGATCGCTTTGCTGCTTCAGCCCGGGAGTACGTGGAGTCCCTGCACCAGAAYTCCCGGACACACCTTCTCTACGGCAAAAACAACGTCCTGGTGCAGCCGGTGAGTGTGTGAGCTCGGTGCTGGGTTGGGGAAGGTAGAGATCTGAGCTGTCAAGTGCTTGCTGCATTCTGTTCTCAGCACAGAGCTGCTGCTGAGCTCTCTTGTGCTGGGATGTCGCTGTTGGCTAGACAGCCRACACAAAATAACAGACACAAAGACACACATATACACACACAAAAAGTAACCCCTTTATTCTGGGACAGGCCTCTTTTATCTACTTTAGCAACCAGTGCATACATTTGTGTCAAACATACATTGGTCAGTGAGGCTGTCACTTTCTACTCATCAGCATCAGATTGGTAGGTTTGCAAAAGCTACAGTATTAGTAATGTTTATAAATGTAAGCTACCTACATTATCAATTCTACATTCTAATCTTCTTTTTCTTAAGACAGCCAAGGATGTGGCATTTTATCCCCATGCAAGCTGTTAACACTCCCTACACTGGGATGGATGTGACACTTGCCAAATGCTTTCCCTGCCTGACTGGGAGCAGGAACTGGACTGTATTTTGGAAACCAGTTGATTGTATTGTAGTTTTTCCCCTCTTTCTAGTAGCAGCATTAAATACCAGTAGTTTTGCTGTTAGGGTTTCCCTCAGCAGTTCCCAGATACTGCAGCTTTGGAACTTGCATGGCATAGAAAGACTGGAACATGTATTTTATGCAGATATTTTGTGCACTGGAGTCACCTGGGTTGTCTGTTGMTTTTGTGAACAGAAAGATGACTTGGAGGCAATCCCTGGGTATCTCTCCCTTCATCAGTCAGCAGATAGTTTGACATTAAAATGGACTCCAAACCAGCTGATGAATGGTACCCTTGGAGATTCAGAGCTGGAGAAAAGGTACTCATTGCACTCAGGAAAGATGGGAAGCACTGTGTAACCTGCATGGGGGCACTGGGATAGGGGAGGGGCGGGGGAAGAGGGAAACAGAGATTGTACAAACCCGCTGCCAGAGTATCCAGTGTGGAGAAAATAGTTCTCCTTTGCTGTTTACTAATAATTTACTTTAATTGACCCAATTTAATAAGCATTTATTAACTTAGCAGTCTGTCAGGTGCTTGGAACTGCAAGCATTCCTGAATATGGAAAAAACAATGTTTCCTGCCCTTTCCTTGCCTTTCAGTGTTTACTGGGACTACGCATTGATAGTGCCACTGAGCCAGATTGTCTGCATYCACTGCCATCAGCAACGTAAGCACAGCCCTTCCTCTCCTGGGGCCCTGCAACAGGCCCCTTGCTGCCAGGGGAATGTTATTGCCAGTTTTGGTGGTGCCTTTAGGAGCTTGTTGGAAATGGAGACAAACACCTTTYTTTCTTTATCTGCTTTCAGTGGACAGCCCAGTAAGGCTCCTCTGCCTCACTCTGCTTCAGGTGTCAGCTGCTTTCTGCAGAYTTTTGTTTCTCTGTGTGTTTGGTTTTTCTGGCTGTCTGTGCAGAACAGCACTCACAGGAAACTGTCAGAGGCAGGATTAAAACACAGAAACTTTGGCTTTGTAAGCACAGACCCTGTCTTCTGATCATTACAAAAAAAAAAGGAGGGGGAAGTAGGTCTGTCAGTCATGTCTGCAGTGGGATCTTCAGCCTGTAGAAGGGGTGTGTGTGTAACCAGGCCACCCTCTGTCACCCTCAGGCCACCCTCTGTCACCCTCAGGCCACCCAGTTGTCAGGAACACCTTCTGCTCAATGCAGGAGAATCTGCAAGGAAATGTCTCTGCATTCCTGACCACAAGCCTCAACTCAGAATCACAGAGCAAAGACACAGAACATCTAAAGATTTTATTTAGAGTCAGATTTGAGTTACAGTTGCACTGAAGGTCCTTTTGAATTAAGAGCCTGTTTTAGGAGACAATTTTATATATTCCTTTAARATACATGAGCAGGAGAGGCACTTGAATGATTGCTTTTCCTCCYTCAGTGTTGGGAACACCTCTGACTAGTTATGGCCATTTGGGAATGAGTGTTAAAATCTCCAATCCCAGCTGACAGAGGATGACAGCTGCATGAGACTTTCATAATTTGCTTTTATCTTGTGGGTTTTTTTTAACTAAAGGGGTGATATCATCCCTAGACCACACTGTGTCTTACAGAGGTTTATTTATCTACTTAGAGATGATCACAAATAAAATTTACTTAGAAGGTAAGAGCAGAAAATTGAGGCTGTGATGTAACAGTGTGGACTCCSTTTGTCCTCCCTTGCAGCAGAAAGCAGATGGACTTTAGTGCTGGTGAGTCAGGATGGGACTCAGAGGCCTCCACTGCACTTYCCCCAAGGAGGGCACCTCCTGGCCTTCCTGTCGTGTCTGGAGAATGGGCTCCTGCCCCGTGGCCAGCTGGAGCCCCCGCTGTGGTCCCAGCAGGGCAAGGTACTGCTTTTTCTGGACAGCTCTTGGGTGGGGCTGGTGTTGATGTCTCTGCCCCACAGGGTCTGGGCATTGACTTCCACCTGCTTTATGGTAAAGTAGGATGCAAAATAACTCAATTTCATCCAATTTGATTCTTATACATATGGTGTGTAAAAATTGTTCATACCTTCATTAACCCATTGAGCAGTGAGCTGGAATGTGCTGCTGCATTAGATACAAGCCCACACAATAGGAGAGAGACTCAGATGGGCTGGACAGAGCTGCTGCCAGAGCCTTGGGGTGCYCAGCTCCCATAAGTTACAAGAAAAGGCTGGTTATATACTTTATAACACTATGGAAAAGTAGTGTTAAGTACTCCTAAACCACCAGCTGTATATGACTCCACTGTTTGCTCCCTTACCTCCTCCCAGCATTGAAAGTTTGGAGATTTAAGATGCCAAAGGTCTGCAGTACTTAGTTTGTTGTACTCTATTGTTGTTTGTTGTACTCTGTTAGTCACTCATAGCTAAATGTATGGAATTACTGTTTCCTCTAGGGTAAGGTGTTTCCAAAACTTCGAAAACGGAACAGCAACAAATCAGTGGACCTGGAGGAGATGCCAGCTGAGGACACATCCACGGACTATGTGTTCAGAATTATTTATCCTGGACACAAGCATGATAACAGTAAGTGTCTTTCTTCTGCTTTGTTTGAAAAAAAAAACAAAAACAAAACAAATAAAAAACAAATCCAACATCTGAGAGAATCCTGCAGTAAGGTCCTGGGAAGTACCTGCAGGTGACAAGCCAGGTTTTTGTMGGGGAGTGAAAAAACAAAACCTCTCACAAAATTTCTCAAAGAGGTAATTGTGATCAAGAAGTACAGCTTAGGTTTCCTTAATGCAGTGGCACTTATTATCTTAGTAGAAATGGAATTGAGGTGGGGAACCTTACATTTACTTGTTTTACAGAGGAAGTTTTCAAAATAYTCCCCTGGGCTTGCAGACTGAGACTGAAACAAAAAAGATTGCTTGACTAGCCAAGAGCAGTTTTGCTCCTGAAGTGAGGGTATTTTTACTGGCCACACTGCTTGCCCATAATGTTGTTATTAGGAAAAAAACCCAACCATAAACTCTTAAAAATACCTCAAGAACTCCTTGGGCTAAGTTTTCCTGACTTGGAAGTACAAACATAACAAGGGATAAATAAATGCCCTTCCAAGGAAACGAAATGAATTCCCAAGCACCAAACCACCTCATGTCATCAGTGAGTACAAATTCCTTACATGCAGGAAGGCATTTGAACTAGCCCTCAAACAGCATGTTCAGTTTTATTCCCCTTGGCTAAGAAGCAGGAATTTCCTGGGAAGATCAGACCCTAAAGTTTCCAGGGGATTTGGAGTTATTGCTCATATTGGCACWTACTGCAGCTGAGAAAGCAGGAATCTCCACTGCAGCCTCCTTAGGCCRGGCCTGGGCCACTGTGGTGGTTGGGCTTTGCTTTGCTGGGGCCTCTGCCCTGGCACAGGTAAGTGCATGCACACAGCAGCAGAGCACACTGTGCCTTGCTGGCTGCAGGAGCTGCAGAGCCTGGGGTTCATGGGGCAGCAGCTGTGGGTCCTCTGCCTGGCTGACAGGATTTGCTGCCCAGATGCATCTGGCACAGGGTTCAGAGAAGAGGCCACAGCATTGCTAAGGGCACAGTGAAGGACAGAAGTCTAGTTGGAGCCCAGAATTCCTGTGGAGCTTTGCTCAAAAGCATACCCAGCTGCTGCAGGCTGCCACTGGGATCTTTGTCCCTTGCTGTGGTGTGTCACACGTGCTCTCACAGCCTGTGCACACTCAAAGGCTGGCCTGAGTTTGGTGGAGCATGCTTTGTTTCTGTAAGAAACCCAGTTTTCATACCAGCTCACACAGGAACTTGTGCCCTCGAGCAGAGAGCAGGATTCAGGTCCTTTGTCTTTGCTGACCATGTCCTTTTGAGCTTTCCCACAGAAATAAGTTCTTTCTTCTTATGCTCCTCTTTCACTATTTTCTTTGAGCAGTAACTATTAACTACCACCACTTAGCTGCCAGCCGCTCTACCTCTGTTGACGATGATGAGGAGGAGGAAGATAAGCTACACGCAATGCTATCAATGATCTGCTCTCGGAACCTCACAGCTCCTAATAGGATGAAAGGTTTTTATCCTCCTCCCCCTGTGCCCCAGAGCTCTCTTGCAGCTCCTTCCACTGATGCATACAACAGTGTTGGCATTATTACAGGGAAAAATGTTTCACTGATGCCGTGAAATCTGGAGATGGAGGTGACCGTGCAGAGAGGGCTGGGAATGGGCTCACAGCCTGTGGGGAGCAGGAACAGCATCTTCCCTCTCCCCTGGGGCTTCCTGCCCCATCTTCATAAAGGCTGGACACCAGAGCAGGTTCTGAGGAGAGAAGRAGGGAGTGTGACAGCTTTGTGATCTCTGTAGGGTGGCAGAGTGTGCACAGAAGGCTGTGTGGAGATGCAGTGCCTGTCTGGGGTTGGTGCTTCCATTCCACTTGTGTCCATAGGCTTTAGAGGATCAGCTGTGACACTACACTACTCTCCACAAATTTATCATCTATTTCTTCTCCTRAAAAAGTTCATATTATTTAAGTTGGTAATCTCAAGATGTGCGTGCATTTGGGATGCAGTAGTTTAGTTCTGGTTTCTGAGAGGTTCTTGCTTTCTCTTGTACCCTGGACTAGAGGGAYTGACTGCAGGAGACAGTAACTGCCCTGCACCTCTGTACAGTGCCAGAGTTCTGGGTTAGACAGGAATGAACAGTGTKCAARGAGAGCCTCCTCAATTCTCCYRGACTGCCCACACACTTATCCCAAGRGAGCAGCCCTGGAAACCAACAAAGCCCAGTCCAATGAAGAGTTCTTGGAAGGCATGGATGGAAAGAAGTTCCAAAAATAGTGTTCCTCTTGAAAAAAGATGCTATTTTAGGAAATTTCAGTGTGTCCTTACTGATCGTGCCTGGATATGAGCAATAATGGGAAGGAGAACATTTAGCTGCCACATACCTGATAAACAWAAGGAACACAATTTAGTCTTTAGGCAGTTGATAGAAAATAGGAGTTAYCCCACTAGAATGGCTGCCAGGTGCCTACTTTTGGTTACTTCATCTTGAAGGGGATGGTGGAGTTAGGGATGTGTCTGGGGTAGCCTGGCCTGGCTGCTGTCTCTCCAGCAGCCCCATCCCATAATGACAACACTGTTGTAGCAGGTTTGCCAGCCATCTGCTTTGACATTTTGCAACATGCTCGACTTTTGCATGTAGCTGAAGTTACAGATAACACCACTACAATTCAATAAAAGATGCTGTTCACTCTAATTCTTCACTAATTCAGGTACCTTTCATCTGAATCTTTAGGTTCTGTGGGGTTCTTTCCTTGTTTCTCTAAAAAACAAAATAAAAAAATTAAAACTGAAAAACCCACTTTTCCTGTCTGTAGAGGGGAGGCAAAAACTAATGATTTAAAAATGTTTATTCAGTGTTTTTTTATTTGAACCCAATAAGAAGCTGCAATAAAGACTGGGTCGTTCAGCTCCTTCCTGAAGAATTAAGGTGAAGAGCATTTTTGCATCACACTTTGTTTTGTGAGATGAACCACACATGACTGCTTCCGCATGAGCCTGTGCTTTTTCTGTTAACAAATGGGTTTACTCCACTCCTCCCTCACCTCTGCCCACTTCCTCATAGGCACTCCTAAAATGCTTTATGCTACCTTGATTTAAAATGCATGAGATGGTTTGGAATTGCCCCCCCAACAAATGTCTATTTTAAAAGCACGGCCCAGGGAACTGGATTTTGCTTATAACTGTTAATTTAGTGGCATACTTTATGACATACATGATTTTATTTGCCTTAATTTTAATCATGGGTGAGCTGAAAGGCCAGTTATTTATTATAAAACAAAAACCCCACAAACTCAAATGCCAGCTGGGAAGGCTGAAGAGTGGAAACCAAGCTTTCTGAAGGGAACTGCCGATTTTTTGAGTTGCCTTTCTGAAGCTGRTTAAAAAGCCAAATAGATTTGGCAGAGCAGGGATAACTCAGGAAGCTGCATTGTACTGTTGGATCRCATACTCCTGTAGAGTATCCTTTTATAAACACAGTGTGGACATTAGCAGGACTGGAAGTGTCCTTTTGTGCTAAATATTGTAGGATCTGGTTCTGAGGGGAAAGAAGTTATCTTCTGAAAGTAACCGATTTGGTTTGTCTTAAATTTCTTTAATGCTCCAGCTTTCTGGCTGGACCAGAAAGTTTCATGGCTGATTCCAGGAACTGCAAAATGAAATTCTGAAGCCTGAATTCAATAGAAAGTTGGGCTAGATGATCTCTTCTGGCCATAAATCCCATTTCCATAGCACTACACAAGAACCAGTTTAGTTGTTACTGCAGCACCCTTTTCTCTATTCTCTTGGAACATGAACTGGGATGTGCATGGGCAAGAGAGGGGCAAATGGTGAGGGTTTGGCTTCCTGGGAAGGGACCCTGCACAGCATGCAGCAGGTCCAGAGCAGTGATTCTGAGGATGCTGCTCTCCTCTTTGTGGAACTGAGTTCAGAGCCTGTTAAAAGTGAAGCATGAACCATCAGGATGCACAGAAGGAAGAGGGGGAGAGAAGGGAAAAGGCTGATGTCCTTTTGTCTTGTTTTTTTCCACAGACACCAGTGAGATGATCGAGATGCAAGGCTTTGGGGCAAACCTGCTGTCGTGGCAGCTGGAGCACTGCAGCCAGGGCTCCTCCTGTATCTCCTGTTCCACGGGCAGCTCTCCCTATGACATTCCCAGCTGCTGCAACTGCATCCACGACCGGTGAGCAAAGAGCTTACCCAGGGACTGGGGGCATGCCACAGGGAAAAGCAGGAAGGKTTTAGTGCTTGCAGCACTCAAGACAAAGAGGAACCATTTTCAAATCCAGTAGTTTCTAACATAAAAAGATGAAGTTAGACAGCAAGAAATTTAGTTTATTAAAACTAACCTATTAAACTACGCCCAAATCACATTTTGATAGAAAAAATCATCCAGTTCTTTTATCTGGTGTAAAATACTTCAGCTCTGGAAGCATTGTCTTTCACAACTCATTAACAATCAAGTGAAGGGCAACAGTTCAATTTGACACAGACCTTTACAGTGCACCTGCAGGAAGTGTGGCTGTGTGTGCCAGGGGAAACCTGGGGCCAAAATGTTGGCAGGAGAAATGCTTTAATAAGTGTAGTTTGTTATTATTGTGTCCTTTAACTAAATAAACCTTGGTGCACAGAAAAAATTGCTATGTGTAGGATATAGGGATCAGCATGAAGTTTCTGATGCTCTCTGTCCTCACAACCTGCTCTTGTCCTGTTGATGCCTCTCCACAGAACTCCACTAAAGATGTTGTGTGAAAGCATGAAGAGACAGATCATTTCCAGAGCCTTTTATGGATGTAAGTGAAGCTTCTAAAGTCCAGCCCATGTGGTATCCATATGCCTATCTAAACAACATGGGATGTTTGGCTTAAAAAGCAGTCCAACCCCAAATTCAAGGCAGTAGGGTGGATGTGACTCCAGTGTCACAGCTTCATGCCACTGTTTGTGAAGTGGGAGTGGGAGAAGCGGCACACAGTGGAGACACAATGTAGTTTTGTAATGCACGGCGTGGCTGTGAGCGCTCCGTGTCAGATGAGTTTAGTCTGTGTATCTGCTGTAACTCCTC